ACACTGAGCCTTGCTGAGGGGGGGGGGGAAAAAAGCTGCCTGTTCTCCTAATTGCTTATTGCTAATCACTTATTCAAAACCAGGCTGCTGAAAATAACCTCGTTTCCTGAAACAAAACTGCAGCCTTATCCACTGAACGTCTTTCTCCCTGTTTACCAACCCTGTGTTATATCTTAACCTGAACCTGCCCAACAGGTTTGTTCTCCTGTGAGAATCTTGAGGTGGAGCAGACTAAGTTAAGGCGTGCTTAGAGCCACCAGTGTGCCTCTGCAGCCCAGAAGGCCAACTGCATCCTGGGCTGCATCAAAAGAAGTGTGGTCAGCAGATCCAGAGAGGTGACTCTGCCCCTCTACTCTGCTCTGGTGAGACCTCACCTGGAAAACTGTGTCCAGTTTTGGAGGCCTCAACACAAGATGGACCTGTACCTGTTGGAGTGTGTCCAGAGGAGGCCACAAGGATGATGCGAGGTCTGGAGCAGCCCTGATGTGAGGACAGGCTTAGAGTGTTGGGGTCATTCAGCCTGAAGAGAAGGCTCCAGGGAGACCTTATAGCCACCTTCCAGGACCTGAAAGGTGCCTCTAAGAAAGCTGGGGAAGAACTGTTCACAGGGCAGGGAGCAATAGGACGAGGGGTGATGGTTTTAAACTAGACAAGGGCAGATTTAGGTTGGATATTAGGAAAAAATTCTTCCATATGAGGGTGGTAGATCATTAGAAGAGGTTGCCCAGAGAGGTAAAGGAGGCCCCATCCCTGGAGATATTCATGATCAGGCTTGATGGGGCTGTGACCAACCTGCTCTAGTGAAGCTGTCCCTGCTCACTGCAGGGGGGTTGGACTAGATGACCTCTGAAGGTCCCTTCCAACCCAAACCCTTCTATGATTCCGTGATTGAGGGCTCTGATGGGCAGGGAGAACCAAGAGTCATAGAGGCAGTTCAGTTTTGGGGTGAGCTGTGTTTGCTGAGGGCTGGTGCAGTTCCATTTCTAGAAGCTGTAGTCACGTGAAGGGAACGTTCACACTACGCTTTGCAAAAATAGTCTGTGCTGTTTATTCAGATTCTTCCCTTTCATACACAAATGTTCCTACTTAGCCTGATGGATACCTCTTTGGAGATGTGTTGAAGTACTACAAGTGACTTGCAAGCCCTCATCTTTTATGTTTTCAGGTATTTTACTGAACTGGTGCTTCTAAAATGATCTGTGTAGCAATTCCTGACAAGGTTTGGGTGGAAGAAGGAGAAAATTAAGCTTCAGTATAGAATATAGGTGATATATTGGCGAGTCTTGCTACAGATTGCAAATGTTGAAGATTCTTGAAAAGGAACAAGATTACTTGGATCAACCTTCAAAGGATTTTAAATTTCCTTGTGTTTTCAGACTATGTCAGTTCTCATGGTCCAACTAATGGACTGAAATGAGAATTAAAGTAAGGAGATTCAGCTCTGAAGTGCGGTAGAAGTAGTCGCGTGATCCCTCAGCTGAGTTGTATTAATGGGAAGCAGCTCTACGTTGTTGTGGCGGTTGGTGCTCTGGTCACGTCTGCTCTGTTTGACAGCACGTGGAGGCTGTAAAGCAGAGACCTGATGACTGGTCACAGCTGTAGGGTTTGGGTTGGAAGGGACCCTCAAAGGGTCACCTAGTCCAACCCCCCTGCAGTGAGCAGGGACAGCTTCACTAGAGCAGGTTGCTCAGAGCCCCATCAAGCCTGAGCTTGAACATCTCCAGGGATGGGACCTCCACTACCGCTCTGGGCAACCTGTTCCAATGATCTACCACCCTCATATTACAGAACTTTTTCCTAATATCCAACCTAAATCTCTCATATTACAGAACTTTTTCCTAGTACCCAACCTAAATCTGCCCTTGTCTAGTTCAAAACCATCACCCCTCGTCCTATTGCTCCTTGCCCTTGTGAACAGTTCTTCCCCAGCTTTCTTAGAGGCACCTTTCAGGTACTGGGAGGCCACTAGAAGGTCCCCCTGGAACCTTCTCTTCTCGAGGCTGAACAACCCCAACTCTCTCAGCCTGTCCTCACAGCAGAGCTGCTCCAGCCCTCACATCATCCTCGTGGCCTCCTCTGGACACACTCCAACAGGTACAGGTCCATCTTGTGTTGAGGGCTCCAAAACGGGACACAGTTTTCCAGGTGAGGTCTCACCAGAGCAGAGTAGAGATGATTTGGTTGAGGATTTTAATGGTACTGAGGAAGGAACTCGAGGTGCTTTTGCTTAGATAACAGAAAGTAATGAAATCCCGCCCAGAACAGTGTGGGGAGAGGAGTGTGATGTCAGAAACGTGGGAGTACGGTTTTCATTTCTGTGTCCATAGCTGAATGTGATTCCAGCTGCTGGTCAGAGGATGGTCCCACCCATGGTGAAGAGAGTTTCTCTCTCTTGCTCCAGCAGCATCCAACGAGTAACTGGTGGGACCTACAATGGTTTGTGGGAGTTCTGGAGATGAGTTTCTCCTCGTATTTTTCCTTTAGACACCAATGATACATCTACTTTCTAGCCAACATCTAAACACGCTTGTCTTGCAGAGGTGAGCTGTGAACTTCACTGCCTGTAAAAATAAATCAGATTTTCTGCAATATCACCTACCCTGAAGTACCAACCAAGTTACAGAAGTGGTTTGGATAATAGGGATGTGGAAAAAAACAAGAAGGAAACGGAAACTAAATACTTAAATGTATTTTAACTTATTATTCTTCATACAAAACAAAAATAGGGAGGATGGATGGGTGGTATAAAAACAGCTTCAGGGGTGGAAGGCAGACTTGACTTGGAAATAACTGCCAGGAAAACAAGGATCTAACGGGATTCTTTACTGCTAGTGATGAGTGTCAGCAACTTGTTCGACAGACTGTGACTTCTCCAGGGTGTGGAAAGATATTGTGAGTGTAAACAGTAAGATTTGGCTGTGTTACCTGCTGTTCATCCAGGCATTGATGCTTTTAAACACGCAGAAACAAAAGAAATGCATTCTTTTGGAAGGCTTGTTGAAGATATTCTTGCTACAAAAGTTCTTACACTCATTTTGGAAGGTTACAAGAGCTCTGGTAAAAGGTTACAGTTCAACCCTGACCATTGCTTTTCAGATGAAGTAGAAGATAGAGGCAGCATGGACAAAGAAAAGCTTTATAGCCAACCTCCCTCCCCTCCCTCCTTCCCAGTAAGAGCTGCTGCTGTGGGCTGGGGATTGAGATTTCCTGCTGTGTGAGTGATTTGGATAAATAGGAACTCTACCAAAACTGTTTTCTCTACTTCCTAATTAACTTTCCTGTTTATACAGCTTTCGGATATTCAAGTGGGAGTTGGAATATTCATAGTTGTGCTTCAGAAATATGAAGGAAATGGTGGAATAATAGAACTTTTAGATAGTTTAATTCATTTTAATCCACAGGTTGTCCCGTCTGGCTTAGAGAGGAGCTTAGTTTTAAAGTTTCGATTGCGTTGAGGTTCAGTCATTATAAAACAAGTGAATCTTTGACTTGAGGTACTGCAGCAAATTGAAGTGGTGGCTGATGTCATTCAGGAACTCTGGAGTGGACTCTGAACGTCACTGTGGAGCTGTTTGTGCCAGGACATGTGACTTAGTTAATGTTAGTCCTTAACTTTTGGGTTAAAATTGTATCCAGCAAAGCTTCCTGAGAAGGGCAGAACTGCTTCGACCTTTCCTCATGAAATACAGAATATCTTCAAGAGATGATTCAAACTTTAGATTGTGCTTTAAATTGTGTGACTTGGTTTTAAATACAGAATATCTTCAAGAGATGATTCAAATTGTGCTTTAAATTGTGTGACTTGGTTTACAGGAAACCCATCCTTGGAGTGTTGAGTGTCTTGGCGGTATGTGCTCCTACAGTCTTCAGTTTTGTTTTCAGTTGAGCTCAAGTCTCTTATTTTCAAGCTGACATCTGAGAGCTTCTCAACAAAGCAGCAGTGGAGGTGTGAATCATCACTATCACCATGTCACATCCTCATCCACACCCTACTGCTTTCAGGCTGCTTTTTTTCATGTCTTATGTGAAGAGAATAATACTTCTCGTGATGATTTCAAACTCAAAAGCTGTAAATTGTTTTGTAGTGAGTTTGGAAAGGAGGGGAAATGTGTGGAAGAAGTAGACAAATTGTGGTGGGGGTGGATCCCATCTCAAGGGCACAGGGAGTGTCTGTGAGGGCTGGAGTGGAGAGGCAGTTTCTCCAGTTCCTGAACAGGAAGCTCCTGGTGATGTGTAATCACCTCAGTGTCCAAGCAGAAGTATTCACAGTGAAGGAAGAAACATTCATTTCTAAACCTCCCCCTTTTAATGTGGCCATTAATTTTCCAGAGTGAAGTTTCAGTAAACGTGGATTTGCTTCCTGGAGAAGGTTTCCCTCTGATGTTAATGAAAATCACATTTGCTTTGTGCTTAGGTTGTGTTTGCAGACCATTTCCTCAGGGTTTGAGAGGAAGGAAACTGTTTTGAGTAGGAGAGGATCTAAGTCATGAAGGAAGGACCAGCTATGGGCTCTCTAACCAGCAAAGAGATGACCACACATTTAAAATTTATCTTTTTTTCTTTTTTTAACTGCAGTTCAATTAGAAAAAATGTGTTTTGTGGTGACACTTTAGGCTACAGATAAACTATCTTATAACAGTGGGGGACAAAGTACCTGAAGTGATCAGTTGTGTTGAAAGCAAACTGTGAATTTTTGCAATCAAAAGTTTGAGAACAGTATTTAATACTCAAATCTCTGAAAGAATGTCTGAAAGATTTAAAGCACTCGAAACAACGTCTTTTTATAAGGAGTAAGTTTGGTGTATCTTCATTTTTATTTTGCTTCAATATGGGGAAAAATAATGTGTGGTGGTGGCTGGGGGGTATCTAAAGAATTCATATTATCTGATATATATTTTTTTTTTTTTCACTTGATTATGCCCTGGTGAGAACACAGCCATTGATGTAACACAGACAGTAACTCATGAGTAATACTGTAATCTTTGTTTTATTTTATCTCTAGACTTCAGTGGCCAGTGAGAACATCTTTCAAACATGGGAAATATTTTTGCTAACCTCTTCAAAGGCCTTTTTGGCAAAAAAGAAATGCGTATTCTAATGGTTGGTCTGGATGCTGCAGGAAAGACTACTATTTTGTACAAACTTAAACTTGGTGAAATAGTAACTACTATTCCTACTATAGGTAAGACTTTTTTTACATTTATATGACTGTTTGCTTTGAGATTTGGGTCTTATTGTTTGCAAGCAGTATCTTATCTCAGCTGCCACTCTGATTTAAGTGACTTAGTGCTGCGCCCTGACGTGACTGTCAGAACAAACATTGGGTAAAACTACAACATGAGGGTGGCACAGCCAAATTTTCCAGCATAGGAGGAGATGAGGTGACTCTGGTTTTTTATTCCATTCCCTCTCTTGAGTCATTTTTGGGAAAAAAACTTTATGGGCCAGAGAAGGACAGTCTGCCCTGCTAAGCGTGTTGTGGCATCAAGTAGATTAGATGAGAAACTGAGGGTGACTGTGAGAACTGTGTGATCAGGGACATAGCTTATTTGTAGTCCTTAAAGTCCAGAGGGGTGGTTTTTTTTAATGTAACATAATTTGTTCTGCATTTTTATAGCTGCTCAGGTAACAATTACAGCTGTTTGTTAGTTTGGGATGGGGGTGGTGGGAGCAGGAGTTGCAGCAAAACCATATTTGTCTGCTTTAAGCACTTCAGCGTAGGATTCTGCTTATTTAAAGTAGATTTAAATTCTAAGATAACCTTTTTTTTAGTGATGCCATTCTGAGTGACATGGTAAATACAATAACTCCAAGGCTAACAATGTTTAACTGAGATTTTAATCACCATTTCTATTTTCAGGTTTCAATGTGGAAACAGTAGAATACAAGAACATTAGCTTCACAGTCTGGGATGTAGGTGGTCAGGATAAGATCAGACCACTCTGGCGCCATTATTTCCAGAACACACAAGGTGAGTTGAGTCTTAAATGTTTGAATCACCAGTTTCCAGAATATAAAAAGTTTTGGGCTGTTTTTTTTTAACACCCTTGCTGTGATAATCTTGCAAATTTATTGGAAGAAGGGGATATTTATTATTATAAAAGGGTGTGTTTGCATGTTGCTCTGGCTTTTCTGATATGCTAGTGCAGGTTCAAAGAGGGATGGGAAGAAATTTAGACACCAGTTTTCCTTGTCCATCTGACTCAGAGGAAATTCAGAATGTTGCTTTTCTAAGTGTCACAGCTTTCTGCCTTCACTTCAAAGCAGAACCTTTTCTACAAGCCCCATGAACTGAGAGTTTGTCATTTCTTCCACTCCTGCGCTTTTATCATGTGCATGTGTTTGAGGGCCACCAGGATGATCCAAGGGCTGGAGCACCTCTCCTATGAAGACAGGCTGAAAGAGTTGGGGCTGTTCAGCCTGGAGAAGAGAAGGCTCCGGGGAGATCTTATAGCGGCCTCCCAGTACCTGAAGGGGCTACAAGAAAGCTGGGGAAGGACTTTTCCTAAGGGCAGTTAATGACAAAACAAGGGGAAATGGGTTTAAGCTGAAAGAGGGGAGGTTTAGATTAGATATTAGGAAGAAGTTTTTCACTGTGAGGGTGGTCAGACACTGGAACAGGTTGCCCAAGGAAGTTGTGGATGCCCCCTCCCTGGAAGTGTTCTTGGCCAGGTTGGATGAGGCTTTGAGCAACCGGGTCTAGTGGAAGGTGTCCCTGCTGATGGCAGGGGGGTTGGAACTGGATGATCTTGAAGGTCCCTTCCAATCCAAACTATTCTATGATTCTATGAGTCCTGTGGCAAGATTTGAGGAGCTGCTGGTCACTAGAAAATATCGAGTGGTTATGTAGATGAAATGCACAACTACCAAAAACACAAATGCAAACTAACATTTGCTTTCACCAGCTCTCAGCAAGAACAAACTTTCTCTCAGATGTGAGATGACAGTAATAAGAAAACTGGATTTTTCTGATATATACTGAATTGTTTTGCGTTATTTTCTCTTCAGACTTGAGTTCTGACCTCCAGGAGTAGGTGTCATTTGTAAATAACTCCTGGTGTATGCTCATTCTGATTGTTTGCTTATTTCTAGGTCTGATTTTTGTGGTTGACAGTAATGACAGAGAACGAGTGAACGAGGCCAGAGAAGAGCTTATGAGAATGTTGGCAGAAGATGAGCTTAGAGATGCCGTTTTATTAGTGTTTGCTAACAAACAGGTATGCCCAAAAAAAAGGTGTTTTTCTGTAAGAACTCTTGAAAATGTACAACATACTTGTGAGTGCCAGATCTTCAACTTGATGTTCATGTTTTCAGAGTAATAATAGATGAGTTCTCAGGAAATACCTGTTAGTTTTGTTGGAGAGAACAGACCCATAAGGAATGCCATCCAGAGGGACCTGGGCAGGCTTGAAAAGTGGGAGCACTAGAACCTGATGAGGTTCAACAAGGCCAAGGTTGTGCACTCGGGTCAGGGCAATCCCAGGTGTGTGTACAGACTGGGAGAAGAACTCATGGAGAACAGCCCTGAGGAGAAGGACTTGAGAGTCCTGGTGGACAAGAAGCTTGACATGAGCCAGCAAAGTGTGACTGCAGCCTAGAAGGGCAACTGTGTCCTGGGCTGCATTAAAAGAGAGGTGGGCAGCAGGGACAGGGAGGGGATTGTCCCCCTCTACTCTGCCCTTGTGAGGCCCCATCTGGAGTGTTGTGTCCAGGCCCGGAGCCCCCAGCACAAGAAAGATGTGGAGCTGTTGGAGCAGGTCCAGAGGAGAGAGACAAAGGTGATCAGAGGGCTGGAGCACCTCTGCTGAAGAAAGGTTGAGGGAGATGGGCTTGTTTAGCTTGGAGAAGAGAAGGCTCTGGGGCAACCTCATTGCAGCCTTCCAGTACTTGAAGGGAGCTTAGAAACAGGAAGGAGAACAACTTTTTGACATGGACAGATAGTGACAAGACAAGGAGAAATGGTGACAAGCTAAAAGTGTGGAGATTTAGGTCAGATATTAGGAGGAAATTTTTCACCCAGAAGGTGGTGAGACACTGTCCCAGGTTGGCCAGAGAAGCTGTGGCTGCTCCTCCCTGGAAGTGTTGAAGGCCAGGCTGGATGAGGCTTTGAGCAACCTGGTCTACTGGAAGGTGTCCCTGCTGATGGCAGGGGGGTTGAAACTAGATGAGCTTGAAGGTCCCTAAGTGTTGAAGGCCAGGCTGGACGAGGCTTTGAGCAACCTGGTCTAGTGGAAGGTGTCCCTGCTGATGGCAGGGGGGTTGGAACTGGATGAACTTGAAGGTCCCTTCCAACCCAGACCAGTCTGGGATTAAATCATAACTGTAGTTGCAAAAAACATGTCCTGAGTGGAAGGTGAGTGAAACAGACCTTGAGTTGGGTTTTGGGTCAACACTAAGGGGCTTGATGACTTGATCCAAATGTCAGCTCTCTGGCTTCTGTTTTATGGAATCATAGAAGAAGAAAAATACTCCATGAGACCTTTTGATCGTGGCATTAAACCTTGGTGACTTTGTCAGTACAGGGAAATAGCTTGAATATAGAATTAATCTATATTAATCTACTGAGGGTTTTTTTTCTGAAAGAGAAACTCTAAGAGCTCTTAACTTTGTTTTAATGACTTTAAAGCTGATGATCAGAACCGATGTAGGGAGGTGGGTGTTTCTTCTCAGGAAATAGAGGGGAATCAATGACTTTTCTTCTTTCCCTCAGGACCTGCCGAACGCGATGAATGCAGCAGAAATCACAGACAAACTCGGACTGCATTCCCTTCGTCACAGGAACTGGTACATCCAGGCAACCTGTGCCACTAGCGGAGACGGTCTCTATGAAGGACTGGACTGGTTGTCCAATCAGCTCCGAAACCAGAAATGAAACCATAAAATTTCCTCTTCTTCTTCCCTCTTATTTTTTTTTTTTTCCAACCCCTTCCCTCTTATTTCCTCTTCTTCACCCTTCGCTTTACTCTAATGTGGCAAACTGTGCTACTTTGTGGTATTGAGTGCCGGAAGCTGTTTTCATTTCTCTTTTTTTGTCACAGTATATATTGCATCATGCTGTAAATGTGGCAAATCCAAGCCTGAAAACAGTTAGGTTTCTTATTTAATGTAAATAGTTTTTGTTTCCAATGAGGCAGTTTCTGGTACTCCTATGCAATATTATTCAGCTTTTTTTTTTTAATTGTAAAAAAATCAACTCACTTATTTAGTACTCGGAAGGGATTGAAGTGGGTTAACATTATGGGTTGGCAGTGGTCCTCGTGCAGTAGAGCTGAATTCTATCTCGGTTGGGTTGTGAGATCTGTGAGATCCGTTTTGGTGGTTGGTTTTTAACCTGAATTCTGTATTTTTTTCTTTTAAATAGTCAAGGAAAAGTAAAAACACTTCAACGAATGTTTGACACTTCAACAAACATTTGACATAACTTCTGCTGTTCCAGCTTTAATGCAGTGACTTTTGATTCTTTTGAAACGGTGAAGCAATGATCCAACACCCAATTAGCTTCATTTGGTTAATGAACAGCTTCATTTGGTTAACGAACAGATCATAATTAAAAGATCTCTCTGGCTCTTTCTGTAGCTTATGGTATGTGCTCATATTTGTTCATATTCATGACGAGATTTGTCGGACCTGGTTTAGATGAGTTTGCAGACTCATGCTAAACATCTGATTTTTGGTTTCAGGTGAGATTTATCCCATTAATTTCCAGAAGTCACTTTTTTTTTTTTAAGCCTGTTGTATTTGTCAAAAGTGTTTTGTACTTTTCTTGTGTATAAACCACTCCAGAAGGTAAAACCTTTCCACAGAAAGCACAGCCTGTACTCATCCTCAAGCTCTAGAGACAGAAAGTACTGTACTTAAAAGTTAAGAATTGCCATGAAAAAAAAAAACCCCACCATCTATGTATAGCATCTAGGAAAAAGAAACATAATAAAAGCATGAGAGTTTGGAGAGTCATTCCACTCTAGAAATATTCAATCCCATTTTTGGAACAATCCCATATCTGTATATGTGTGAAAAACCCCTTGGCATCCCTCATACTGCAAGGTTCAGATTTGCCATCAGAAAAAAAAAAAAAAACACAAAAAAAACCCCAAAACCCCTTTTCTTTTTTTTTTTTTTTTTTCTTTTGTATTTTGATAAACACTGAAAAAAAAAGCTGGAGCTGTTAAAACTTTAACTCGAGGAACTATCAGAACTGGTTTATTTAGTGTTGTGGAAACCTTTCTTGCTTTCAATACACGATTAGTAATCAACTGTTTTTGTATACTTGTTTTCAGTTTTCATTTCGACAAACAAGCACTGTAATTAAAAAGCTATTAGAATAATTAAAAAAAAAAATCTCTTTAACTATTTCATGTTTTTTATGCCTTGCTGTTCATTTGATCATCTTGGCAAAATCATAAATACTTGTTGAATAAAAAGTTTCATGAAACTTGCACTGGTGATCATGGTGTTTTGTAGCATCTCTTTGTTCCAGTCTCGTGGGCGAGATTTAACCCAAACCCAACCAGAATTTTTTTGCCACATCACAGTTTGGGTGAAAATTTTAGGATTTCTCCTGTATTTTCTAAAAAATTAAATGTATCATTCCTAGTTGGGCTCTTCTGATAGTTGGCTTCTTCTGGAGTCCCATCATTGCCTCATGGGCATCTATTAAGCTTCGTGAGTAGTCCCATCAATTCCCACCACAGATTGTTCTTCCTGATGATCCCACTTAATAACAGGATCTGCAAATTAGCAGGAGGGTTTTTTTGGGGGGAAAATACAAAATCTGCCTTTCTAAACACTTTGTTTTGCATTTTTTTCCATTCTGCAGTCTAATCTGGACCCAGGACACAGCTCCTCCCAGCTGATCATCCTGCCTTCTCCCTGTCAGCTACAGCTTCTCACCACGGCTGGTCACGCTTGGGCTGCTGGCCAGCTGCTGGCTGTTTTCCTGGCTGGAGTTGCAGCAGATTCCTCCTCACACAAGCTGGAAAACTGGGAGATGAAAGGTACATGAATGTAGGTCAGAGAGCAACCTGGCAGGTGGGGACACCTGGGGCTTGGGGTAGGGATGGGAGGGGACAGCAGCTGTGCCAGGAGGACACAGGAGTGCTGCTCTCCCTGCAGGCTCTTGACCTGGCATCTGCTTTCTCGATGTCAAGTCAGTGCTTGTCAGCCCTTTGGGGTGATCTCCTGGTCTCTCCTCTGTTCGACAGATGATGCTTCCACTCACTCCCCAGATTTTATTTCCAGATCATTCAAGGAGTGCAGCAGCTGCTTAAAGTGTGTGCAGGGACCAGCTCTGATCATGAGACGTGGGTTTGTTCTAGGACTGTCCTCTCTTGGGCAGAGGCTCATCCTGTGAAATCATAGAATCATAAAATGATAGAA